CTCATTTTCTATCCGTATACAAGCCGTTTGCTATGAGTAGAGGTTTTTATTCTAATAACTTTCCTAAATATATTAAGGTTGCTGAGCTGTTCCAACAGATCTTTGTGGCGTACTTTGTCGAACGTCTTTGCGGAGCCGATAAAACATAGGTGCACGTCCTTCTGCATTTGTATTGCTCTTTCTGATAACATTCTGAGCATGAATATCGCGTCCTTTTTTCCGGTGTCTTAAACGAAGTCGGACTATTCTTGTCCTAGCTCTGTCCTGATTCTGGTGCGCGCTCTATTCACCAGAATACGGATGATGAGTTTTCTTATGTGGCTTATTAGGCTGATTGTTCGGTGGAGTTCGTATTCGTTTGCGCCTGGTTTCTTACGCAGTGCTATGAAAATAGTTCTGCTGAGATCTTCCGGTATATCACCACTGTTGTAAATTTCATTTATTATTTCTGTAATTTTGTCTATGCCAAAATCACCTAAGGCTCTCGGCATTTCTGTTACAATTCCGTCTGACCCTGCCACCTTGTTTCTGTTCGATTTCGCCAGTGCAGCTTCTACTTCGATTTTTAGAATTTCAGGCTCCTCGGTAGTTCTGTCCATTGCTGGTTGTTCTCTTCCGTCGTGGAAGGGTTCTCCAATATATTCGTTCCAGCGCTAAAGAATTTTTCGTTGTTCCATCCTTTGACTTTAAGCAGCCTGTTCACGAGCAAGTCTTCTGTCCTGTTAGTTCCCTTATTTGTTTGTGCATATCTCCTTTGTTGGTGGTACTCAATCTCTATTTCTGCACATTTTGTTTTTAGCTACTCTTCTTTACCTTGCTTGTATTTGGTCCTTATTTCATTGTGTAGTTTTCTGTATTCGGTTCCGTATCTTGGCAGAGTTTTCTGCCTCATTTGCTTCATGTCGAGAATCTGATCAGTCATCTATTCGGTTTTTCTACTTCGCCCATTATCCTTTGAGATGATATCGTTTATTGATGCCACTAAAGCTTCTCTTAGTGTGTCCCATTTTGAGTTTCCATTTCCACACTGTCCCATGTATCTTCTTTTTACATTGTCCATATATTTTTCTTTCACGTACGGATCGCACAGCAGTTTGCTATATTGCAATTTTGGGTGCTTCGTTAGAGGTCTTCAGCTTTCGTAGTTTCACCCTTAGTTTACATATAACAGGGCAATGAACGTTTTAGAAGTCAGCACTTGGGTTGGTTTTGCAGTGAACCATTGCATTCCTGAGTCTTTTGCTGATAGTTATTTAGTTAGTTTGATTTGTAGTTTCTCTTCCTTGGTTCCGCCATGTCCATAATAATCTCGGATGTTCTTGGAACCTTGTGTTGCCTATTACCTGGTCATTGGTCGTACACCACTGGGTCCATTTTATCCACTTTTGTTGGGGGTTCCTAGTCCGAATTTATCAACTATCTACCCTGCTCTCTCTCTGCCTACTTTAGCGTTCAGGTCTCCTATGATAATTATGATTTCTTGTGATTTGCAATGAGCCTTGGCATTGTCTAGCATGGAGTAGAAAGATTCAATTTCTTCTTCATTTTGTGCTGTCGTTGCATACATTATTATGATCGCTATGTTGAAAGGCTTTCCTTTCAGCTTGAATACCAGAATTCTTTTGGATAATTGATAGTATCCCATAATGCATTTTTGAATTCTTGATCTAGTATCAATCTTATTCCTTCTACGTTTTTCTCCCCGTGTTTGTCGCTGACAAAATCTCCGTTGTTTGTCTATCTAGTTTCACATACACCTAAAATGTTGATTTTTAGCCTACTCATCTGCATTGCATTATCTGACTGGTCACAGTAGTTCAACGTCCGAATGTTCCATGTCTCGAGAGTTATTTTATGTTTGATGCGAGATGTCGCAAGATAACGGTCCGGTGACACCTGTCGCTCATGTCGTTCCTTTTCGGGCTAGGGATAGGTTCCGAGGAATTTTATCCCTTTTACGCTGTTTATGCTAATAGTCGCTGGATGACAGTCATGTGACACCTGTTGCGCGTGTTTGGCGAAGAGTTAATTCCCATAGACTTAACCCCCTTCACGCCGTTAGGTTTCACACTGTGATTTGCCATGATATTTCTTGGGATTAATAGTGAAGTGGTTTCACGTTGCCTTCTCCACGGTGGTTTATAGACACACCACTGTTAGTTAGCTGGGCGTTGACTCATTCTTCTGTCCTTTGTTAGGTCTTATTTTTCGGCGTACTGGCTCGCTAACAAGCCGCCTCACTTGCAAGAACTTGGAGAGAGCTAGCCGGTTTAGTCTCCGACATTCCGACTGTGGTTTAGTTAACGCACACACACACACACATATATATATATATATATATATATATATATATATATATATATACATATACGTATTATATTGGGTAGCATATATTTTATATTATAAAAAGGTAATCATATAATGACTTAATTAGTAATATTAATGTAATTAATGACGAATTCTCTTCGCTAACAGACTTAATATGAGCATTAACTTACTAACAATCCACTGAATGGCGCGATCCTTTTGTATAAAATTGCTGTCACATGGATCGGGTGTATTTTTAGAGCAACTTGTACTTTCGAAAATTTCATGTTTTCATCGTCAGGCTGTATTTTTTTCCATTTAGAAATTGTGGATTCCGCGTGAAAAATAGGTATCCAATAAATGACAAACGCAAGTATTTAAGCTAAGAAATTAAATGTATTTACACAAAACACAAAAGGTAATGCTGTTAGTAAAATCCAGGAACACGGTTAGTAGCAAATACAGATAGATATATAGAGTCTCGAAGTAGGACTTCCTTGGAGTCTACGTGCTTGTAACTGACTTCTACAAGAGGTTACTTCACTCTATCCGACTACCGACACTCACAGACGACTCCGGTACGACTCAGGTATGACTCTTGTACGACTCCTTTACTCTGCCTGACTGTGGCTATTTTATGGCAGCAGGACGAGTCCATTATATCCGAAAAGGGTGGACCCCATAACAGAAATAAATTAAAAAAAAACAAGACGAAATAAATGTATTGTAGACCGAAAGATGTTTTACGAATGTGTTAATTTTTAACGGTTATATAATTTTGAAACGTGTAAATCGCCACGCTAGAGTTCAAATATTTCAAGTGAGAATTTTTTGTCTGAATTTTATTGTATGTAGTTTATGTCAAGCTATTTAGAAAACACATACAATCGTGGATTTATCACTTTACAAAATTCGGTTTGCGGGTAAAGGTTTTGAGTTAGTAAGGTGGGAGAATAGAATAAAATGATTAAGTTTTAACTTAAGTTCCATCACCCACTATTAAAACAATATGCGATTATCGAGGAATTAAATTAGATTTACATTATTTACTGAAAACCCAAAGCAAGCCAACCTACACACGATATATATATATATAAATATATTATTAAATGTAAGAGGTCCGAAACAAAACAAAATAAAAAATCCATCGAAACAACGTCATTCTTATTATTTACAATTGGAATTTCTTGTTAATCTTCCTAACCTCGAATCAATAGATCATTTACTGAAAAGTGTGACATACTCTAAATTCGTCTGGATTTCAGAAACCAAATGCACTGGGTTGGATGGCTTAAAGAGGTGGGAGGGGAGGAAACAAAGACGAAGTCAATTGGTTGTGGGGGGTTGATGGGTGAACTTTGATGAGTTGCTAGGGTGACCGGCCCTCTTTTAAACCCTTGAAAATGACATCTTTGTTATTCAAATAAAACAAAATAAATTCTTTTTCTTCATTTTCTTGGCTTTTATTGAGCAATTACTTTAGACTCATACTAGTTAAAAAAAAAAACCTGAAAGAATCCAGACTACAAACAATATATATACCCTTGTCCAAATTAATTGAAACAACCGATTTAGTTTTCTTTCTTTCACAATACGGTCAGTTTTAGAACCACTAGAGTGACAGGGTGGTATCGATTTCTTTTTTTTTTTCGTCAGATTACGTCATTTGCAGTGGTGTGCAGTATTATGAATCTATTTTCGGGGTGTATGATGAAATTTGTTTAGCCTTGAAAAATATTGTGTCATCCGTGACTGCATCAGATTTTTATCACGCCCAGACACTATTGTCTCGACTCTCGATTAGTTGTCTTACGACTGTTATGAACACTACTCCAAGAAAGCGTACGAAAATAATAACTCTGCACGAATACACTGCAAGTCTTACCAGTGAGCAAATCAAAGTACTATAGACTGGCCCAGAAAATCTTCTGATTTAAATCCAATCAAGAATCTGTGGTAAATCTGCAAGGAACGACTTCGTGGAATACGAAGTAGTAACCGGGCCATGTTTCACTGGAAAAATATGAAAACAGAGGTAAATAATAACGGTATTATTCGTTTTGTTTTAATTAATTTGCACAAGGGTGTATAAGCGCATATGCAGAATTAATAAATTCTAAACACTTCAAAATGTTTCGGTATAGTGATCAGGTGTAACAAATAATGAAAAATAGAATAGGCTGGGTTAGGGGAACTTTTGTTCAATAAAACAACATTGTAAATAACAAAAATAGCCTAGGAACTCAATCCATTAAACCTAAACTTCCTACGGATGTCATGCCTGATGTTCAACTCGTTTAGAAATATCTAAGCTATCAGCTATATGTAAACCTTTCCTCAGATCAATGATTAAAAATGGCTTCAAACGAATGAATCGGCTAGGTCTTAAATAAGAATATACTTAAACAGATCTTATAGATTGGCGCTAAAAAGAAAACATAGAGAACTTGACCAAATAATCGATTGATTGGTTCGTTTTCTACGGCTTATCAACCCTTTGAAGATTATTTAAAGCCAGAAATATTTTTAGTCTGTAAGAATTTTTAAAGACAATTATTTCGTAATACAGAGGAAAATACCTTTCCCAAGGGTATTTACGCCTAGGTCAATATAATGAACCCAACCGAAATTGGAACTCTGCTCTCCGATTAACAATCCAGAGCCATTATCCATTACATCCCTGCACATCAAAGCTTACTGCACTTGGTATTACCAAGCGGTTACCCATCTAAGTACTGATCGTGGTCGACGTTGCTTAACGTCGGTGATCGTATGGAAACTGGTGTTTCAACGCGTAAGCCTTTAACCCAGAAAAAAAAACTCTTTTCCAGTAGTAACAACTAAAATCGACATCAGATGTAGCTAAAAAGGCAATAATTATATAATCAAGATGTTAACTTTCCACACTACTTTAAACAAAAGGTTAGGAAGGCAACTCCCATCGCTGCTAGATAGAGCGATAACAGTCGACTTGAGAACTCTAATTTCCTGGAAAACTGCTGTAAGAGAAACATTTTAGACATTTCAACAATGCCACATAAGGCTCGGTGCTTCTGCTATTTATTTAAAGATTCTCAATAAAATCCCAAGGATTATCAGTAATTTTGTTGGTTCTGACTTGGCATCCCGGCGTCAGTCACTTTCCCACCGCCGTAATATAGCTTCCCCGTACCTTTTTGTTATATAGAAATAAAGTGTCGCTGCCGACAGTTGAGTTTGAACATAGATCACCAGTGAACAAAAACAGGTGATCCCCTAATTGAATTAAGTATAGCACGTGTCCATAGAGGAAACGCATATATGTAGGAAGTCGCGTGACATCTAAAGGATCGCTATTCCTAGTCTATCCGCTATACTATACGGATCACTATTTCTACTCTTATTCTCTATTACTATTCAGACCGCTATTCTCTACACTATACTATTTCTCTATTCGGATCACTATACAGATTAATAATCGAGCGAGTGTTGTTCGAAGGCGTCTGACACCAGTATTGTTCAACGGCGTTACTATAGTTGCATTTGCGATTACAAAGTCTCTACCACAACGAGCATTACGAAAGTGACAACGAGTATTCGTTGGAATCATAACAGCGTCAAACGAGTGTTCGTTGACATCACAAAACTTTTCTATAAATAAATTCATGGTACTTATTCGGAGGATCTCTCCACTATGGTACCTAGACTTTATGAATTTTGCTCAGTACTTGATTGGAAACAAGAACTCATCAATTTACAGTTGAAATGGGTTCTATGCTAACAGTTTCTTTTCTCGCATTTCTCGCTTGTGTAAATTCTCTTCCGGCTTCTTTCTTTCCAGCCAACTTCTTCAAATATTTAAATGCAACGTTAATCGTTATCTATTGTCTTCCTGATTACTCTTCTATTGTTCTCGCTCCTTCATAATATTTTTCTGTTTTTTAATTCTATCGCACTCAGTAACCCGCTGCATCTTAGTGGCTTTACTACCTTGCTTGGGATAAATTCGATTTAAAAAAAAAAACAATAATACTGTCTGATTATTGAATGTCGAATGTTTCCTGTATGGAAACGTTTAATATCATTATTACCATTAATATACAATAGATTTGTTTAAGACACTTGTTTCAGAATTTAAGAATTTCATATAAATAAATATGTAAAACTTGCTGTAAAAAGATTCTGTTAAAATACATTATGAGTTTTATAAAATTGTACGCCTGACGTAATATTTTATTCAGAAGGTCGGTAAGGTTTTAATTTACTGGAAAATCCCCGGATTTGAAATTTACACATATTTATTGTTTTTTTGTTTTTTTTTTCATTATGAACGAATTAGATATACCGTATCGCTTATTACCATGTTTAACTTGTTTGACTAAGTTCTGAAAGTTTCCAATTGTATGCAAATTTACAGAATAAGAGAGGGTGGGTTGCAATTCGTGATTCACAAGGGCATCAATATTCCACTTTCGAACGCTACTATCTATTGTTGTGACCACTATCACGCACTGAAACGGATACATAAGACAGATAATCCGTATATTGAGTCGCATTCTGTCTCTCGTTGAAGGTAAATAAAAAATAAACAAAAAACCAATTCATACTCATTCGTTGTTTAGAAATATGAACTATCAACTTTGAGACCATAAATTTATTTCTTCACTTGAAGTGGCCGGGTATTTGTCCATACACTAAAAAGAGAAATGAAATTCAGACAAACAGCAAAGTAAAAATCCTTCCTTGTCAGTTGATATACGTTTTACGTTTTCATTTTTATACCTTCACAAATAAAGACTTACGCAATTATATCTCTCCACGAGTTCCTGTCTTTTTATGTTAGAATTAATGTTTGGTATTTTACCATCTCTCACTGTCCTTTTTCTGTCATTCATAGCTAAAAGGTACATAAATTTATCTAGAGAGTGTTACGATAGAAAATATAACATCAAAATCAAAAGCTACATTGGAATAGCTCGTAGAGAGTGAGAAGAGTTGTCCTGAAAAGGACAGCTTTGTAATCGGTGAAGAGCGTGGCCTGAAAATGCCATTTTATCGTATATCGTTGCTGCTGGCGAGGATAGATAGCTGGCTGGGACTGGATGTATGTTGATGATGGCTGGAGCCGTAGGCTGGCTGACGGCTGAAGTAATACAACATTTTGATCCTTGTCATCTGGACCGCGGACACGATAACCTAATTATGGAACACCATGAACTAAAAATCTATGATAGAACCTCGGAAATCTATGGGAATGTCTACAGTTGCAATATAAAAGAAAACTGGGAAAGACATCTAGATGACTGTTTCATTCTGTGGAATGAAAGTCTGGAAAAACTAAAGACATTCCAAATATGCATTTAATAATATAAATTCTAGCATACAATTCACTATGGAATAAAGCAACAAAAAAAACTTCCCCTTTTAAGCATATTAATAACAAAAACGAACACTATACTAGAAACCGACTGACTCTCGACAATATTTTTTTTTTTACATCTTCTCACCTGAAACACACTCGTACTAACATCCCACTCAACCTATCCAAGCGAATATGTACAATAGCCTCAATCACAACCACAAGAGACCAGAGACTAGAAGAGATGAACAAAATACTCAAGAGAAAATACCCACAAAGTTTGGTCGACAATAGTATTGAAAATGCAAAACAAATTAACATCCACACACTGAAATCACTTGTTTCTGTAGTCTGTTCAAGCGAAGGAAAATCTATCAATATTTATCGTTACTGACATGTTACGATTTTGTTTGGTTAAATGAAGAATTTGAGAGCAAAACCACTCTACTAATTCATCTGGACAAACAATATTATTTATACATTTTATTAACCGTAAGAGTGGCTTATAAATTAAAACACCCCCCCTCTCGATATACCAGGTGTAACAGTAAAATTGTCCAATTGTTAGATTAAGATTTGAACCGTGGTATCATAGAAATGATTAAAGATATCTTACTGGAATTTTTTTATAACACTATTGTACTCCGCTTTGAGCAATAAGAATTTATACTTATTCAACAAGCTTAACAGAAGAATTCTGATGAAATCGGCCATAAACGAAAATGATATGGAAAAGATATCTAGATGACTGTTTCATTCTGTGGAATGAAAGTCTGGAAAAACTACAGACATTCCAAATATACATTTAATAATATAAATTCTAGCATCCAATTCACTATGGAATACAGCAACAAAAAAAACAAACTTCCCCTTTTAAACATATTATAACAAAAACGAACATTAAACTAGAAACCGATGTAAATCTACTGACTCTCGACAATATCTCCTTTTTACATCTTCTCATTTTTATCCCCGGAATATGCCTTATATATTTTAAGTCTTATTATTTATAATTTATTCTTACATCGAATGTATAATATCGAATATTGCTGCCAAACATGGTTCGGTGCTCCTGTCATATACAGAATCCAATGAAGAATCTTCAGTGTCATTTGTCGCGACCTGCCATCCCGGTTTCACTTACTTTCGCACAACACTAAAATTGCTTCCCTCTGCCTTTTCTATAAATATTTCATGGTAATTGTTCTGATAAACTTTATTTTATGAATTCAAGCTCCGTAATAGATTGGCAACAAGGTCTCATCATTTTACAGTTGAATTGGCTAGATGTAACCGTTAGTTCTTTGCTAACAGTTTCTCTTCTGGCACTCCACGCTTGTGGAACTCTATTTTGGTTTCCTGATTACCAGCCAACCTTCAAGATTCAAATGCAATGTCATTCGTTATCTTTCTTCTTTTTTATTGTTCTCCCTCCTTAATAATATTTTTATTTTCTTTATTATTTCGTATGGAGTACCACCTTTCGTCTTAGTGGCTTTATTGCCTTGTTTGGGATGGAATTATCACACACACACACACACACACATACATATATATATATATATATATATATATATATATATATATCATCACACCGTCATAATTTTCTTTTTGTGACAGGTGGATCGGAACTGACCTAAAGGTCAACAATACTGAGAAGAATGGAAGTCAGAATCAAATGCTCAAAATGGTATCAGAAAGAGCAATACAAATACATGTCTCCCTGTAATTTTTTTTCCATGTAAAAAAGTCACAAAGAATTGTTGGAACTGCTAGGAAACCTTGACATATGTTGGAAGGATATTAAAATAATCCAGAACTTATACTAGCAACAAAACGCCTGCATACGGATAGAAAATGAATTCAGTAAATATGCAAAAATAGAAAGTGGTTTAAGACAAAGATGTGTCTTCTCACTGGAATTAGTTAGCCTATACTACTTTTTTTATGTGCCACGTCCTTTCTCCACTTCACCCTATTCCGTTTGGCTCTCAATAAGTTTCGTGCCAACTACCCAGATCACGTTCTGCCATCCACTTGATCAAGTCCGTCAGCTATGTCATTCGTTGTTTTCCCTTGTCTCTTTCCCCCTCAATTCGACCTGTGAGTATCAGTGTGGAACCGCGCAGGGATTCCACCTACTTTTACGTGCGCGCGCGTATTGCACCCCTTACTTTCAAATTCGGCTAGATATAGTAGTAAGCAGCCGTCTGCTGCTGACGTGAGGAAGTTGATGGCTGCTGCTGATTCCAGCTAGAACAGAATTTGAAGTTTCACCGCGCATTCTCTGACGTCACTGACGAACGGAGTTTTTCAAATCAGTCGCTGCCTGGTCTCCGAGCTAAAAAGTCGACTCATTTATTTCGCGTCCCTTACCCATACACGGGCCGAAATATCTTAACTACAAAATACTTCCTAGTAAACTCCTTGGCTCATCATGCCGAATCTCTTCATG